TTTTTTTTTTTTTTTTAAATTTCGGATTCAAATAGTCCCAACCAGCACTGTGCAGGTTGGGGGGCAGGGCGGGCATTCTTGAACCCGCTATGCCCCGACCCGGCCGTTTTCCACCTACCCCAGGCCAGACGTGCTGTACCCCTAAATCCTTCCCCATTCTCTCGCCTCCCTCCTTTCCTCTCGCCTCTCGCCTTTCGCCTCACTTCCCTCATGCCTCGTCCTTCTCATTCTCCATTCCACTTCACCCTAAATCCGTCATCCTCACACTCGTCGTTCATCATTATCCATTCATCTTCTTCTTCTCAGTCTCTCACCGTTCCTCGTTGTTCCTCGCCGTTCCTCACACTCGCCGTTCTGCAGTCTCTCGTCGTTCCTCACACTCGCCGTTCCTCGCCATTCATCGTAAACCTCCGTTCCTCTTCTTCTTCTAGATTTTTTTATTTTATCTCTGAATCAGAGCAAACCAAACAAAAATGGGTCTGTTTGTTTGAATCTTTTTGTTGAATCTTTACTAAAGAGTTGGCAGTTGCAATATGCTCCTTTTTCACTTGTTGTCATTTTTTGTTCTAGTTGCCCTGGAGCTCACGGTGGTGACAAATATATAGTCTGAATCGAAAAGATCCCAGACAGTTGTGACCTTTCAGCTACTTCCCGTGGCGTGGGTCATCCCAATGGAAATCCTATTAAGTCATCAGGTAAGTTCCTTCTTCCATTTCAGCTGAATTTGATTCTTTTCTTTGGCTCACTGGTTTGATTGGTGGGAGAATTGGGGAAAATTTTGAAATCGAAGGAAAAGAAAATGGCTTTTCGCAGTTGTTATAATGATGTTTTGAGCTTTTGAAATGAATGTATGAATTGCCTAGAGTTGATTGGGGTTTATTTTCTTAGGTCTGAAATGGAGGGGAAAAAAGAAAGGAAAAAAAAAGTTAGCAACTTTGTAATTTGATTTTTTGGGTACAAAATTAGCTGATAAAATAAATTAATCTGAGCCGGTTTATAGGCAGAGATGAGTAGTTTTCTCACCATGGGACAAAATACATTTATTTTTGGTATTTTTTAAAGCAATTATGCTGAGTATTTTGTCTTGGCATGAAGATGTAGAAGAGAGTATAAATCCAGGGAGCCAAAAATAAAACTTGAACGTAATGTTTTTCTTTTATTCAACGTTAGCAAAAACAGTATTTTCTATTCCTAGTTAAGGACAACCAGAAATAAGAGTGCTTCTCTATATTTTTCCTTATTTCTTGTGATGAAATCCACGAACTAAATATTACCTGAATTTTGAGAGCTACTCCCTGGAGTTGTGATTTGAGCTTGTAAAACTTTTCAATCTGCTGTCGTGTTCTAACTGTCATTTATTGGTTTCTGCTTTTTTTCCAGCGGAGGAAGAAGAGTAAAGACTGAAAAGGCATTTTCAGTCCATAAAAGGTTAAGAAGAAAGCAAGTCTGAAACATAAAGGTTAGTTTTTTTTGTTTTTTGTTTTCTATTTTCTGTTTGTTTTGTGATGATTGAGTTCTGAGAAATTTATGTTATTGAGCCCCAAGATGGTAGAGGCATTGATTTGTACAAAAAATTGGCTGCATAGTCGTGAGCACCTCAACCTTATTGACGTGGAAGAGTTTAATGAATATGAAGATATTGAGTCGGATAATCTTTTTACGTTTTACTTTTTCTTTTTTAACTTTGTTTCATCTCCTTATTGTTTATTTTGTTGTCCTAAACTTGATTCTAATGATTTTTTTGTTATGTTTTATTCTCTAGATTTGTCAACTTTTATTGCAACACATGAAGGGCAAGTTGGGAATGGAGGTGCTATTATTCTGGATTAAACTGTTTGGAGTTGACTAAATTTCCTATTTTGCTGGACCATGTCTATATGGACTGTTTATTTGACGTATTGTTAATTTTATTTCTGGACTTTATTGACTGTTAAGAAGTATGTTGATGTTATGTTAATGCTTATAGACTGTTTATGGATTTTATGCTTTTGGACTGTTAAACTTAAAACATGTTTGAAGTCATAGATTAAAACTTCTTTTCACCATTTACTTGGCAGCAAGTTGAATACTTGTATCATCTTCATTATATAGGGCCTCTATGGATTACGGTCTTTCTTGGGTCTTTGTTAGTTAGGCATGGAAATCTAAATGTGCCAATTTAGTTGCTAAAGAGAAGTTGACAAGGCCAATTATTGTGTTTCCAAAAAAAGAAACTTATATTTTTTCATATTGCTTTTGGACCTCGTACTCGTAGGAAGAAAATTGCTTCACTTTTGGGTAAGACAACAATCCGAGTAACCCGAGCCTACCCGAGGCCAACCGACAGATTACGGGTTTGTAGGCTTAAGAGAGTGTTGCGGCTCAAAGTTTTCTCAACCCGCACTGAACAAGTAAGCTCAATTTTTTGGCCCAACCCGACTCTACCCGGCCGAGTTACACCCCTACTTGTATGTCAACAAATCATCTTAACAATTGAGTTGAATTCTACGTTTTTTTTTTTTTTTTTGGAACGACTAGAATTCTATTTTTAGTGCCGAGTTACAAATTTATCCAGAAATTATAAAAAAATTAAATTATTAATAAAAGAGTCCCTAGTTGTTTATAAAAGGGTTCAAATTGGTATGAATTTAAACTCTTTTTTTTTGTAAAAAAAAAAAAAAAAAAAAAAAAACCGTTCTCTCAAATTTTTGCTTCTAAAAAACTCTAAAATATACATTTAAAATACAGAACAAGTATTTTTAATATTTTTTTTTTGTTTTCGCTAAAAATGACAAATTATTAATAAAATCAGAACCTTATCAGATATTAAATATTTAAGAAGCCCTAAAAAATCTCAATCACTTTTCCTCTCGTTTTTTGAATTATCGTTGTTCGGAAAATCTATTCTAGTCCTACTATATCTTTATGAGAAGCATTCCTTTTCCCATTCGAAACACAAGAAGGCTTGTATTATATAAGGCAAGCGAGTTGGCCAAATTATGCATACAGCCATACACCAAAAGCTCATAGACTCATAGCTTTCTCTTCCTTTCCTACTCGATAGCTATACCGATTTCAGTTCACACCCTAATCAAGAACCGCTTCATTCAATCCATACTCGACACTTGAACGCAAAAGGAAATTAGAAATCCAAGAAAGAGTTTCTCTCTCTCTAAAAAACGACTCTCTCTCTCCTCCCATTCCTATAATGGCTACTACAATGGCGTCGTCGTCTTCTCCTAGGGCAAAACCGGATAATTCAGCGCTTTGCAGGACTCGCAGCTCATCGCAGTCGTTGTCTTCGGGATTCGCGTCGTCCAGGCCCTTCCTCACTCGCTCCTCCTCCCCCACTCGCGTCAGCATGTACGGAAGCTCCATCTCTCCGGGGCGACGTTCGATGTCGGTGACGAAGCAGTCCAACGGCGCCCCCGGAAACGTCAACGATAACGGTAACGGTAACGGCGTGGTTTCCAAGCCGAAGAAGACATGCATGTGTGCCCCTACGACGCACCCAGGCTCGTTCCGGTGTTCTCTCCACAAGAACTCTCCGCGTGGAGGTGCCCAGAAAACGCCGTCGTTTAGTTCCAACAGCCGCAGGCAGTACTTGATGAGATCAGCGATGGCTAACTCGCTGATCAGGAACAGAGTAGTTGAAGGCGAGTTGATGAAAAGATCGTTGTCGGCTCTGATCAGGCCTTCGTCAAACCAGCAGCGGAGCCGAGAGACATTTCAGCCGATGCCAAGCAGACTCTCCGTGATGTCCAGAGCCCAAGATTCTTGAATTTTTTTTTAATCTTGATAGGCTATTTTCCCTTTTTTTTTTTTTTTTGGATAAATATGTAGGTTCCGAGTCATGCTGTTTTCTGATGATTTTTTGGTTTCTTGAAAACAGAAAAGGAGCTCAGTTTGTGGAGTTTTCTTTTTTTTTTTCTTTTGTTGGGGTTCAAATATTATCGAAGCTAGTATTTTTTGCTTCGTATTATTAAGTTCAGAATATTAATCAATCAGTATATTAAGTTCAAAATATTAATTTGTAAATAGTATTCATTGTGTCATCCCGTTTATGAACTTAAACCTATTTACCAAATAAACTGAAACCGTCAACTTTACGGATGATTCAATAGTCATGTAATCATCCCCTCAGAAAATAGTCACGTAAATTGAAATTGCCACCTGGTATATGGGGAACTGTAAACAAGTGGATTAAGTACTTGTGAAATTTTCTCCATGTTTATTACACGTAGATTGAAGAAACTTTTCTTCTATAAAATATTATTGTTGGAATTTCTTCTACCCAATAAATATATTGTTGGGTTCGGTTTGTAGCAATGATCAAATAAATTTTTTTTTTTCACGAAATAAAAAATCCGACGGTGAAGATGACTTGAAAGTCAGGGTATCTTTGTAAAAATGTAATTAGTCCACGATCGGTAGTGAATTATGGATTTTATTTCAAAATAGTATAAACTAAACACGTGAAAAATGTTAAAAAAATCTTAAAATATCATCTCTTAATTAGGAAAATTTTCATTTTAATACTTCTACAATATTGAATTTGAGTTTGGTATCTTCATGTTTTTAAAAATTTCATGCCGGTACCTTAACCTTTTAAAAAATCTTTCTTGGTATTTCGGAGTCATTTTTTGACACAAATTAAAAGAAAAAAAATTGCCTTTATTATAAAAATTCATCAATTGATTAGAATTTTAAAAGAAAAAAAGGATTTTAAAAATTGTTATACATGTAACCAAACACCCAAACCTAAAACTTCATGGTATTTGGTGACATGTATAACAATTTTTAAATCCTGTTTTTCTTCAAATTATGATCAACAGATGACTTTTTATAATAAGGACAATTTTATCTTTTTGTGTTCCAAGAAATAGCTTTGAGGTACAAATTTTTTTTTTTTTAAAAAGTCGAGGTACCGACATGAAATTTTCAGAAACAGAGAAGAAAGAGTTTCTCTCTCTCTAAAAAACGACTCTCTCTCTCCTCCCATTCCTACCATGGCTACTACAATGGCGTCGTCGTCTTCTCCTAGGGCAAGACCGGATAATTCAGCGCTTTGCAGGACTCGCAGCTCATCGCAGTCGTTGTCTTCGGGATTCGCGTCGTCCAGGCCCTTCCTCACTCGCTCCTCCTCCCCCACTCGCGTCAGCATGTACGGAAGCTCCATCTCTCCGGGGCGACGTTCGATGTCGGTGACGAAGCAGTCCAACGGCGCCCCCGGAAACGTCAACGATAACGGTAACGGTAACGGCGTGGTTTCCAAGCCGAAGAAGACATGCATGTGTGCCCCTACGACGCACCCAGGCTCGTTCCGGTGTTCTCTCCACAAGAACTCTCCGCGTGGAGGTGCCCAGAAAACGCCGTCGTTTAGTTCCAACAGCCGCAGGCAGTACTTGATGAGATCAGCGATGGCTAACTCGCTGATCAGGAACAGAGTAGTTGAAGGCGAGTTGATGAAAAGATCGTTGTCGGCTCTGATCAGGCCTTCGTCAAACCAGCAGCGGAGCCGAGAGACATTTCAGCCGATGCCAAGCAGACTCTCCGTGATGTCCAGAGCCCAAGATTCTTGAATTTTTTTTTAATCTTGATAGGCTATTTTCCCTTTTTTTTTTTTTTTTGGATAAATATGTAGGTTCCGAGTCATGCTGTTTTCTGATGATTTTTTGGTTTCTTGAAAACAGAAAAGGAGCTCAGTTTGTGGAGTTTTCTTTTTTTTTTTCTGGTTGAAAAATTTCGAAGCTGGTATTTTTTGTTCTTTGCTTCGTATCATTAAATTCGGAATGTTAATGAAATAGTATGTTTTGATTTTAAAATGAGATTATTTATTTTCTTTTCTTTTTAGTTCTTTTGTAAGATTTGGAGATTGTTGTAGTGTTTTTCGCATACGTCTTGAGAGCAGGAGAGATGATCGATATGTGATAATCTTCAAATATAATCCTTTCTATATTTATATTTTGATAAATCTTTTACCTTCTTTTGGTGTGTGTGTGTATGTGTTCATAACTTGTCGCATTGTTAGTAAGGAATAGAAGCATTATAAATTGGCACGTTTCAAATTTTTAAATGCCGGGGTTAATTATAAGGAGCGACTACCCCCACATTCAACGAAAGGGGATAGGAAGAAATCAAAATACAAAGTACCGATGAATAGGGGTGTGCAACAAACCATCAAACTATTCAAATCAACCAAATCAAACCAAACTAAAAGAAATTCAAATCATATCAACTAATAATCAATTTGGTTTAGTTTAAATTTTTTAAAACCAATTAAATTAGTTTAGTTTGTAGTTTTACCCTAAAAAACTAACCAAACTAAACCAATTTCTATCTATATATATTTTCCCAAAATTATATATTTTTATATATTTGTAACTTGTTCATATTTAAAAAACGCATTAATTCCAAAATTATACGGTCATAGTCCTAAAAGTTTCAACCATAACCTATTTGATATTTCATTTTTGAGTTATTGACATTTATAGTTAAAAAATATTGGGATGTCTATCTTACAAAAAAATTAGTACTAATTATGATTGAAACTTAAAAAGAGTTAGTAAAATATTAGTTCAAACTAATTAGAAAAACTAAATCAAACCAATTGCATCGATTTGGTTTAAAGATTTTTAATTGATTTAGTTTAAAAATCTCTAAACAAATTTATAACTGTGTAGTTTGCATTTAACTAAAAATTAGCGGTTTGTTTGGTTGCACATCCCGGATGATGAATTTTGGGTCTGCCTAGCCGTCCACAAGCCTAATTGAATTTCGCGGGTTGCACCCTCTCGCTGTTGGGAAATATCCAAATTCGGGTCCTTTCCACAAGTAAACATGAAATAAATAAATAAAGAGAAAAAAATATTTTGTTCTAAAATAGAGACGTAATGCATTGGATGATTGAAGTACACAACAACAATAAACTTAATGAACGGTATGAGTAGCATTTTTTTAAAGGCGATAAAAATAAGAAAAGAAATTGACAAGGATGATAAAAGTAAAACCACAAGAAATTAAAATTAAAAAAAAAGAAAAAAAACAACAACAACAACAACAGTGGCCGTTAAAATCTTCCCTTTTTCTTCCGTTAACAGCAACGATAATGCTAGTTATTTAATTTTGTTCGACCTCTTTTGGCAGCTTAACGATAATAAAAATGAAATACAATATGTGAACATGCAGAACGACACCGGCAAAAATCTAAAGGTCTGTTGAGGCAGCAAAATGTGTCAAAACGGCATGTCGTTTTAGTAATCACAGTTAGGAGCTGTCGAAACGCTCCTCTAATTTCAAATCAAATGTACAATGTCCTTGATAACTCGAAAAGCCCACAAGACTGATGTTGTAAAACAAGATGAGGTGTAAGATTTCATTACTCGGTGTAATTGCTAGTACAACATCAATACATGCATATTATATTCGATTGCACGCTCGAAAATGCGAGAAAGAGATCACAGTAAGCAACCCTTGAAACCCTCCTCTAATTCCTTTTTGTCCAAGTTCTTCCCTATGAAAACTATCTTGCTTACTCTTGGTTCATCTGGGCCCCACAACCGATCCGGTGAACCTTGGAATATGTCATGAACTCCCTGTCACACCAGAAATCAAAACACAGAAAAAACTAGCAGATTAGCAGGAAAAATATGGTAACCAAAGTCACTGCCGACCCAGCAGAGAGAATGCAAAACACAAATGTAAACCAGTTTTAAGCAAGCCCCACTTCATAAAAAGAAAAGGCGGGTTTAACCCACCTGGAAAACAAATCTCTCATCCATGCCCTGAACAGATAAGAGTCCCTTCATACGATATATATCTTCACTTCGCTCCAATAATAACGTGCCGAGCCATATATTAGCCTGGAAAATATTTCAGCCAGGAGAATTGTCCAAAATCTGTCAGCTTTCATGCACTCAAGCAACAAATATGGATGGTACCTACATACTTCTCCAATAAAGATGGTATGCTTGTTTTGAAAGATCAGTTTAAAGGTTCGCAAACTATTTTGGAAGGGTACCATGCTAACTGAAGAATAAACCAAATAGATAACAAACCTTCTCGAGATCTAAGCTTCCTTCACAAACTATACTGACAGAAGAAACACCCGGATCGTGAGTATGGTCATGGGAGTGGTGGCCCTCATGATGTTCTGCTTAGAGATGCCAAATGCTGATTAGTTTATACTCTTTACCAGGTGGGAAAAATGAAACTGCATTATTAAGAATGACAATAAGTGGCAACAAGAATGGCGAGGAATGTCTTTTCTAGTAATCAAATACATTTACCATGATCGTGATCATGATGGTGATGATGGTCATGCCCATGATCATGATCATGGTGATCATGATCGTGATCATGGTGATCTTCCTTTGCACTTTCAGCATCAATCGCACTCTCAATCCTGGCAAGAATAGAAAAACTATTAGCAAGAGTAACAAATAAACATCCGTTTCCACCAAAAACAAAGAAACATCCATGAATTATAATTGAGGTTAGAGGCCCCCAGCCTATTTAAAGTATTACACATCAGGGAATGAGCATAAACCCAAGAACTAGATATTGTTATCAGAGGTAATTCCATAAATAAGAAAATGGAATGAGAGAAAACCTCTCCAAATCAAAGCCTCCAACGCCAAGAACATATTCCAAGTCAACTTGTCCAAAATTTGTCCGCTTGAGTTGAGCCATGCGGTTGATATTCTACGTTGAGGTAAAAAGAAAGTCAATAAAAAAGAGATCATTGAAAAAAAAAAAAGGTAGTTCGGTAGAAGCAAAAGGAGGAGGGTGCCAACCCGAATCCGCTGAACCAATGAAGCAATATCTGGCTCTCCAACAAGATCAGTCTGGAACAAAAGAATGCGTATATCAGCTGGGCATTAAAGGGGAAAAAAAAGATTATATAATATCTCCGTGCAAAACCTTGATCTATATCCAGGAATGACCTTCTGATTAATGATTAACAATTCCTCAGCAAAGTGTTTCACTTCTTTGCCATGTTTGGATTGGATTACAGAAAAATAAGCAACTAAAGGAAAGCAATATTTGGGATTTAGGAATAGTGAGTTTATCGGGGTGTGGGTGCGAGAACCACTTAAAACTCTTTCTATTCCTGAGGTTCTTATCATTAATCTTGTAAGAGAGTTCATAAGTTTTTTTAAACAAAAAAATTCATGCAGTTAGGTTGTAGAAATACAAAAAACAAAAGGAAGTAGAAAACGTATACATTCAGGTCAATATATCATGAGCAACTGTTTTGATTTGTAAGGCACTTAAACAACATTTATGGCTGAGGTCTCCAAAATTGTTGGTGTTGAAATAAGGAAACAACGGATCTGAATAGTCATGAAGACTTCAAATTTGAGTAGACTGCACACTTAGTCTAGTGCGCAACAATCAAATAACAATAAAAAAAATACCTTATTCACAATAATACGATCAGCATAAGCAATCTGCTCTACAGCTTCATTTACTACTCCTTTTGGCTTAACTTCATCCAGATGAAATCCAGCATGTTTGGCATCCACCAACGTGACAACACCATCTAACTTGACATCGTTAAAAACCTTATCCTCAGCATAAAATGTCTGAATGATAGGAGCTGGGTTTGCCAACCCTGCAGAGAACAAAATTTGTATAAACCAATGTAATGTGAAACAACCGAAGTTCCGTTCAAGATTAATCATTCCACATCCAGAACGGAAGAAACTTTGAGGTTACGCAGCATGCCCTAATGCATTACCATAAAGAAAAAGATTAAATATCTTAAGATGTATTATCTAGCACATGGACTAATGGCCTTACCCGTGGTCTCTATCACAATGTGATCAAATTTCCCTTTCTTTCTGTCCACCAATTCTGATATCATCCTCACAAGATCACCCCTCACGGTGCAGCAAAGGCAACCGTTATTCAACATGATAATATCTTCGGCCCCAGTAGCTTTCGAGGCGACTAATGAACCATCAATATCTACCTCTCCAAACTGCAAAATCAACCAAGGGCCATCATAACTAATCACAGTGTAAACTCACCTTCAACTATCTATTTCCTCCAATAAATAGTAATTGACAACATTAATATCGAAATTGTTCAACTCCATACCTCATTTTCAATAACCGCAATTTTCTTTCCATGATCCGCAGTCAATATATGGTTAAGCAATGTGGTCTGTTCAATTTCATAAACAAAAGAATTCCCAAATAAGTTTCTTGTTTTAATTTCCATGGATTAATAATATTGCCGGCTTTAAAGCTTAATTCAAAACAAAAAAAACAAAAAAAAAAAAAACAGAAGCAAAATTGGAACTTCCTGACAATCTCAGCTCTGCTTCGAAATCCCGAGAAACAAACAGAAAATTGTCACCAATTTCGCTGAATCCAAATCAACAAATAAAATGGATGTACCTTTCCGGAGCCCAAGAATCCGGTGATAATGGTGGCGGGAATCCGATTATCCGGCGGAATCTTCGTGGAAACGTCGGAGGTCTCGCCCTGGGACGTCGGCGCGGCGGTAGAGGCGACGGTGAGGCTCCGCGAACTCCTCTTGGGCTTGGCGAAGTCGACGGCGATGATCGTTCTGGAGCGAAACGACGACGTTGAGTACCTTGCAGTTTGGGAGGAGTGAGGAACCCTTGGTCTCCATAGGAGAGGAAAATGGACGGCGGTTCGGACCCGGGAAAGAGGCGTAGGGCTCCGAGCGGTGAGGCGGAAGATGGCGGTGGCTAGGTCCGCTGATATTGAAGCCATGGTTTTGGAGCTTTCGAGGGGTTTAGGTAGATTTTTATGTTAAGGAAGACAGAGAGAGGATTTATCAACAGTGGGAATAGAGAGAGAGAGAGAGAGAGAGAGAGAATAAAAAAATAAAATAAAATAATCTATTCTTCTGGACTGTTCTCTACTGGACCAAATTCCCGCAATGCAATAAATAATAGTAGAAAATAGGTTAATATAAAAAATTTAAAAAATATATAGATTAATTTTTAATTATAAAAATTAATATGTCATAATTTATTAAGTTATGGTTAATAATTAAATAAATTATAGATAAATTTATTAAGTTGTGTTTATAGTCAGATAAATTATGAACAATAACTTGTTAAATTATGGTTTATAATCAGATAAGTTATAGATAAAAATAGTAATTTAGCCTATTTATTAACTTATGTAAATTATTAACCTATTAATTTTAATTCATCTCAAATCTTAATCTATTTTCCTCTTTCTCCATTTTTCTTTCTTTCCTGCTTTGCCATTTCTTCAATTTTCTTTATTTCATGGTTTGACTAATGGACATAGTAATATGGGTATTGTTTCCTCTTTGAATAGTTAATACTAGTGGGTTACCGTGCTGCTGCACCGATGTTTATATAGTTAGTCACGTTTATTTTATAAATTTAAATTTAAATTTTAAATTTTATTACAGTAAAAAAATTTAAAAATAATTACATTTAATTTTTTTATTATTATAAAAAATTCCCACATAAAGTCACATTTTAACTTAAATTAACGAACTAAACAGACTCTTATTTAATAATAAAATTAGAGTAAATAATATAATAATTAGTTACGAAATGATAATTATGTTGTTAAATATTTTACAAAAACAGAGTATAAAAATGATATAAAAAAACTAACACAAAAAATGGTATACGATTAAAGTTCAGTTTTCAAGCTGTGGTAAGTTCATTACATATATATACATATATATATACATATATATTTTTTATGTTGATTATTTTTCTTTATTTTTTTCTTCGTTTCATCTGAGCTGCAATAGAAAAGGACAAAAAACAAATATTAGTTATTAATATATTATAATCGATGGTAATAAATTTTTTTATTTTTAATGATTTAATTGTTTTAATATATAAAGAATAGTATTACTTAATTGGTTTTCTTTTTTTCAAAAATTTAATCGAAGAAGTATACTCAGATTGTATTGAAACAGGCTGTAAAATAATAAATATTATTATATTATAACTGATGTTCTATTAAGATTTAAAAAAAAAAAGGAAGATATGAAAAGTTGTTTACGTTGGTTCGATATTTGATTGTAAGCGGTTTTGAAACTGATGTGGTTCTTCTCGAGGATGCTGATATTGTTGGAGGTGAGTACAGCAGAGCTTCATCATCGTTGAAAGTTCTTAAAATAACTGTCGACGAATGCACCTCAACTACGGAATTGGATAACAAATATTTTTGATATTCCTCTAATTTATTCTCAGATGAGAGGAATTATATAACGATCGGTGTAGCCTTCTTCAAAAGTGAGTGTAGAGCAAGCTTTATTTATGAACGATTGCGTTGTTTTCCCAAACATGATTGCATTTGTTCTTCCTGTGTTATCTTTAATGTGTACGTTGTTTTGCACTTGTTTAGAAAAATAAAATATGTTTATATTATAACTGTAAAAAAATTGTTGTTTTTTTTTAATAAATGTTATTACCCAATAAGTTGTTTTGTAGATAAATTTCCATCTATCACCACTAAGATGTTCCTGATTCCTTTATTTGTCTGTAACATTTTGTACATACATGATAGAACTATCCTTGGTATGCATCAATTTCGATAATAGTTGATCTTATTGTGTATCTTGTTTCCTGTAGAATAGAAAAAGAATTTTTTTAATTCATTTTATATAAATAAGAAATGAAATAAATTATATTTAAAAATGTTTACCTAATTTTGTAACGAGTCTAACGCTAGCAATTCTACAATGGTTTATTAAAGATAATATATTTTTTATATTACTATTTTATCTTTATTAATGCACTTGGTTTTATATATTTAATATTAAAACTTATAGAATATCAACATTAATATGTCTTTTAATATCATGCTCATATAAATATTTTTATTTTTTTGTTATACTATTAACCAATCTTTATTATTACATCTAATTTTTATCGATTGTTATATTATAAATATACATTAATTGTTAAATAATATTATGAAAGAAATATTATACTTAATATTAATAAAAGTGTTTGTATTAAGAGCAATTATTTTTGTCTTTTATTATTAATTTTCTTGTATAATAATATTTACATAAATAGTAAAAAGTCAATTTATTAAATTAATAGTAAAATATAGGCAAAAATTTATTTAAGTTCAACCATTTGAAATTATATTTCATTTTATAAAAATATACTATGTTATTTTTCTAGTGATTTAAATAAACATTGCTTGGCATATATTGTCTTTATAAAACTATATATTAAACATGTAATTAACTTTTATTTAAAATACAAATAAAATATGTAAAACTTATCGTTGACATTTAAAGTCTCACTTTTGTATTGGAGAAAAATTTACACTAATGAACAGTTAATCGTACAGGAATTTTTCTTCTTTTTTTTTTTGTTCAGGAATACAGCCTTGAACAAAACACCAAATCTGCTACAATTAACTGAAATACAATAAAATTGCTTTTCACTTAATGAATACATAATATGATAATTGTTCTCTTAAAAAAAATCAATCGTTAGTTACATTACATTTACTTTAAGAAATACATCATATACATATTTTTTGTAGACGATCTTCACATTCTTCAGTTGAATAAGTAGGAGAAAGAAATTACAAAAGTAGAAAAATGAAACAATAAATAAATAAATGAATTAAAAAAACAAAAGATAATAAACTATTGAAAAATTTAATGAAAGAATTGAAATGTAAAACTATTTTTTATATTTAATAAATAGATAATATTATTAAATCTATAGATAAAATAATCATATATAAAAAATCAGATTCAGGTATTTTTCTTCTATTACTAGTAACATATATCATAAATAACTGAAATATGACTTAACAATGTCTTTGGCTTTGGCTACTAACTAAATTATTGAAGGATGTATACAAAATTCTAAAGAACGAAAACTGTAATGATATGGTGAAAACAGAAAAAGTAGAAAAAAGAAAACAAATAAGTAAAGTGAGACATAGGTAAAGAAACTAACTAAAGAACAAAACAGAAAAATTGGATTGATTTTTGGATTTAGAAAGAGTAAGAAATCAAAGAGGAAAAAGAAGAGTAGAAGGAAGACAAAATGAGAGAAGAAGAAAGCTTGAAAATGTTAAGCCGTTGAATATCACAGTAAGAAATTGAAAGACAAAAAAGATAGGCCACCAAAGAAGAACATGAAGAAAAAATTGGAGAAGAACAACATAATAGCATAAATCCTAAATAATTTCGACAACATCAAAAACTGTCAAATCATTATTAACAGTTACTCGATACATGACAACAATTAAAGAAAAATACATCATCATCACCAAAGAACATCAAAACCCTAAGAAAAAAAACTGTTCACAGAACAAGATATATATAAAAAATAAGGTTCAAGTATTTTTCTTCTATTGCTAACAATATATATCATTAATAACTTAAATGTGACTCAACAGTGTCCTTGACTGTCAACTAAATTATTGAAGGATTTATGCAAAATATCAAAAAACAAAAACATTAATGAAATGAAGAAAACAGAAACATGAGAAAAAAGAAAACATACATGTGAGGTGAGACATAGGGAGAGAAATGAAAAGATAAAAAAGATCGGACACCATAAGAAGAACATCAAGAAAATATTAGGGAAGAAGAAGATACTAGCATAAATCCCAAATAATCCGGACAACATCAAAAACTATCAAATCATTATTAATAGTTACCTAATACACGACAACAATAAAAGAAAAATACATTATCATCATCAAAGAACAATAAAACCCTAAGAAAAAAGAAATTGGTCACTGAGAGAAGAAATGATGTAAAGGTTAGTATCTTATTATATTCAGAGAATTAAAACAAAAATACAATAAACACTTCTATTAATGAAATGAACCACAATATTCATATAAAAAAATCATATACATGATGATGACAAGTTCAAACTAAGCATAACGATAAAAAAATGAAAATAATGAAACATAAATATACGTACAAATTAAGAAAAAAAAAGCCTTAGTCCAAGAAGAACAATTAACAGAGTAGACCGAACAAAAAGAGAAGTAAACAGAACAATCCAATATCCAAAATTGACCAGAGCAAACAAATGAACCCAAGATTCAGAAAACAGTAAAGATACTAATAAAAGTCTAATATCAATAAAATCTGTAAAGAGCAGGAAAACAAAGAAGGTAGAAGAGAGTAGATTATAATAGTCGGAGAATGAAAATAGAGAGAAAATGAGAAATTGTAATAATAAAATAAAACACATTATTTATATACAAAGTGAACAAATTTCTACTCATTATCCGATAACAAATCTTCTAAACAAATCTGAACTAGTATAATGATTAATTAACAATAGGGGTTACGAAACATGAAAATCACAGGAAAACGAAACCAATAATCAATTGACAACAAAAAATAAGAGATGTATTATAGAGAATTGCAGCAGGAGAAAAACATGTGTCTAATGAAAATATAAACACCACAATATAATAGCAACTCTCTAGAAACTAAAAGGAAAAATTATATAAAAAACAAACCGCCCAAACAAAATTCTACGAATGGTACAAAAAAAAAAGTAAAAAATTACATCAATTAATAATATTACAAACAAAGACCAAATAAGAAAAAAAGAATAAAAATGGATGTTTATCCCAACAAATAGAACAAAAAAAAAATCACCCACCGAAGAAAAAAATACGAATGCATAAATATAATTTCTTTTCCTCACATTTCCAACATAAAATCTCTAAATGTAGAAATAAGAAAAAAAGAGGAAAAAATGAGGAAAAAAAGGAGAGAAGGAAAAAGTTCTCCGACGAAGAAGAAAAAGAAAACCCGAAAAAAGCCTAACAATAACTACAAATAATATACAAAATTTATGTACCCTATTATCATGAAAAACCTCTTAAACACCAAAATTTCAACAGCCGATGCAAAAACATTGAGAAAGGAAGCATAAGACCCAAAGAAAAAGAAAAGACCAGAAGCTAAAAGAATAATACCTTTCAAGATTAGTGTCCCGTTCACTTTACCGATTCAAGATTAGAATTCGAGTTTTGCTATAGTAAAAAGATCTTAGAAATAATCACATTTAATTTTTTTATTACAATAAAAAATTCTCACATAAAATTACATCTCAACTCGAATCAACGAACTAAACGAGCCCTACGACAATTGTTTGGGAGATGAGAGAGAAAAAAAAAAGAAAATGGCCAGCTGGACTCCACAACACACCGGGAGAAGAAAGGGCAAAAAAAAAAAGAAAAAATTTCAGAGGCATAACCGTCCGCACACTGTTGATGAAAAAAATCACACACAAATAGATGGGCAAAAAAGACCGCACACCGTTCAAAGAACAACAATATCACTACCTACTTTAGTATTATAGTATAATAGGATAAAAGACAAATAAATCTTAGTGGACTTGTCTACAGTCCCTCACTATGAATTTGAAATTGGGAGGCAAGTCCCTCAGGTTCCAGACCCATGCACCATGGTAACAGGCTGAAAGAATTGAATTATCTTGTATTGAATCGTAACAGTTATTATTTAAAAATTAAAAGTTATTTTTAAATATATAACAATAAATGATTGTCATGCACACTTGTCATGAATAATATGTGAATAATATTGAAAGACACATCAATAAACGAGTGTCAATTTTAATATGAATCAAATATGCACATCTGTCGTTTTTGCTATTAAGATCATTTGTTCCATCATAATTGATTTTTTTTTTAAACCTGAATAATATTGTCGTAAAGGATTACTACACCTGTCATTATTTTTTTAATAAGCACATCCAATCATGCATGAACATTGGTTTAGAGCAGTGTATGACAATCGTTTATTGCCATCTGCTTAAAAATGATTTATGATTATTAAAATAGTAACTGTTACGACTTAATACAAGAGAATTACGTCAATCATTCAACTGGTTATGCTAATCCTTCAATCGGTTACGATGGGAGAAATTTCCTCCATAAAAGTGGTATGACCGTAGGAGACCACAGAAAAGGGCAATCTTAAAACTGTTGTGTTGTTTTGAACCAACAAATTTGTATATAAATTTATACATATTTTGTGTTTTGTAATGATTCTGATGTAATTGAATTCTCAGATTGCAGAGTACAACAAGGTTTCTTCGCGTAAGGTAATTTTTTTAGGATATTTACATTTTTATACTTTGCATTTTGCGTTTATTCAAAAACTATACATTCAGTTTTTAATCTCATCAAAAGTATACATTCAAATTAAATTTAATACTTAAATTCATACCATTTTATACTCAACTCTCGATTTTAAGCATAAAATACTAAAATACCCTTAAATAAATAAATAAAAACTAAAAAAAAACTTTAAACTTACGGTTTTAACCTTAAAAAATCGAAAAAACCATTGAAATGGGTTTTTTTATGTTTTTATTTTTTATTTTTTGTAGTGTTGGAAAGTTTAGTTTTATTTTCTCTCTTTTTCTTAAGGATAATTTCGTCATTTTAAAGGTCAAAATCAATTATTGACTGAGATAATTGATATATTTATATATTAAATTAAATTTAAAAATATACATTTGATGAGATAAAAAATTGAAGGTAAAAATTTTGAATAAACTTAAAACATAGGGTATAAAAATGAAAATATCCATTTTTTTTTAATTTTGTTTACTTTTTTGTTCTGTATACTATTTCTTTTGCTAGTTAGAAGAGTAAACTTTTTATTTTTGCGCCTTACAATAAACTTCTTTTTTAATTAATTTAAGGAGCACCCATTTTCTCCAAATTCACATCTCAAAGGGCCGGTTTTTGTCCAAACCAAAAGAATAAACTATGGACTGCCAATTAACTGAGCCCTTAAAAGATTAACTTTTAACTTTACAGTCCATCTTTGTAAATAATGATAACATGATATTCACCACAAGAATTTTGGCCAGAGGGACAAATATGTTTGACTTCCTTCTATGTGGATATCGGATAATGCTTTTGACATCCTAGGGGGACCCCCCCTTCTCATTTCTTATTTGTCCATGTTCATAAGATCTATATCTAATAGGCCGTCAGACTTTGAAATGTTTGGAGCTATTGATAGTGGTCTAAGAAATCTCTAGGGCTCGTTTGTTTCATATACTCAAATTTAAATCATTAATTTTGCTACAGTATTTTTCTCTTATAAAAAATTTGAATTTCAAACGGCAGAATCAAAAATCATAATTTAAGTATTACCATCCAAAGCTCCAAATTCAGATTCTAGACTAGCAGCTCTTACAAGTAAGCATCTTGTTGGGATTCGTATATTTACCTCCTGATTTGAACTAAAATTGTAAATGACAAGTTATGTTTCATCAACCACATGCTCACTTAACATACATAAGCATTCGCAAATCTTTAAGTACCTTAATTATGATCAAGAGTATGATCACACGTTAATGCATCTAGTTTGGCTTTTAATGATTCAAGTTGGATTGGATTAACACATCTGCATCTATTTTTTAGCTCATATTATAGATTCTGAAACACTGATATAGTTTAGTTGTACAAAGTTGAAGAAATGTATCAGCTATTATTCATGATGTTGAACAATTGTGGACCCGCTGAATTCAATTCAAGCAAAACAACATTATAAATGAGCTGTCTTGAAAGTTTTTCTCCATTTTTCTTGTTTATTTCATCTCTAATTCTTTAAATGGCTGTAGCCAAGTATCTTTACAACTCCCCTGCTAACCATGTCATCCCTCAGTCGCTCAACATCGTCCCATCTCTCGGCTTCAGCGTAGATGTTCGACAACAAAACATAATCTGCATCCTTAAGAGGCTCCAACTCGGCGAGCTGCTGAAAGCATTTCTCGGCCAAGTCAACATTTCCGTGTACCCTACAAGCACCCAATAAAGTTCTCCACAGTACAGAGCTTATTTGGGGAGGTACATTTTCGATTATTTGATAAGCTTCATATAGCAATCCCCCTCTGCTCAGAAGATCAACTATGCACCCGTAATGCTTTTCATCCGGCACAATACCATACTGCTCGATCATGCGGTCAAAATACCGGCGTCCTTCTTCCACTAGACCCTTGTGGCTGCAAGCAATCAAAACACCAATGAAAGTGACCCGATTGGGCCTAACCTCGTCAATTCTCTTTTCCATGGCAGAAAACAATTCCAAAGCTTCCTCAGAGTGGCCATGCACAGCCAACCCGACGATCATCGCGTTCCAACAACTCACAGGTCTCACTTTCAGCTCATTGAATAGCTCCCGAGCTGAACTCAACTTCCCACATTTTGCGTACATATCCACCAGAGCATTTCCCAGATACCCTTCAATCTTGCAATGTTTTTCTTTCAAAGATTCATGGATCTTCCTCCCAATATCCAGCGCACCCTTTTCGGCACAAGCGCCAAGAACGGATACAAGCGTCACCTCTGTAGCCTCCACCTTTGCAATTTGCATTTCGCGGAAGATATTCAATGCCGCAACATAATATTTGACCAGTACATAACCAGCAATCATAGAGTTCCAAGAAACCGAATCTCTCTCCGGCATTTCTTCGAACAGCTTCTTCGCAGCCTCAATCTTCCGCAACCTAACATACCGCGACAACAAGGTGTTCCAAGAAACCACATTCTTCTGAGGCATTAAACCGAATAGGCAATCCGCTGACTCGAAATCATCGATCTGATCATAGGCCGAAATCATCATGTTCCAAGAAGCAAGACTTCTCTCAGGCATTTCATCAAACACATGGCGCGCAAGCTCCACACGCCCACATTGAGAATACAAAAAAACCAACGAATCCCGAACATATCTATCACCATCAAACCCCAACTTCAAAGCCCGACAATGAATTTCTTCCCCCTTACGAGCGATCTCCAAACGACAAGAACCCGCCCGATCTTCTTCCAGCCATTTGAGAGCTCTGGCGCAGGCCCTGAGTCCGAAATTAAATGTGAAATTATCCGACAACCCAAAATCCAATCTCTGCATATGATTGTAAATACAAACACCCTTTACGGGGAAGACACTTCTGGCGTAAGCCCTGATCATGGTGTTGCAGACGAAAGGGTCGTCCATGGCGGTTTCTTCCAAAAGTGACTGAGCGTGAGCGAGACAACCGCACGGAGACAAAGATGTCGACGTGATGAGCTTCGCGATCAGAGGAGTGTGGCCCAGTAAACCTACCTTGGTGATGAAGGCTTGGATTTGTACCACGTCTTTCAAGGAAGATAGGCGATGGAGAAACTTGGAAATGGAGAATACGCAGGAGGAGGATGAGTTTGTGCCTCTCCTCATCTTCTTCTTCTTCCATTTTCAGAGCTTCGTAAGAAGCCAAAGCTAAAGCCGAGGAATTTAGGGTTTCTTCTTTTTAGTAAAAAATAAAAAAAAATGTAACTTGAATTATAATTTTATTTAAATTTATGTTTTTTTAAGTTTAAATTTGAATTTAAACTCAAATTTATGATTAAAATTTGAGTTTAAGTTTCCCCTTCAACTCGAATTCAGAAACTCAAACTCAAATTAATGAACAGTATTTTTTCTATTTTTAAAAATGCTATAACTTTTTTATTTTAATTCTGATTGAGATGATTTTTTTTTATGCGTTGACAACGAAAAGACGAATAAAACCCGACCTATATACCCCATTAAAATTTTTTATCAGCATTGAGTTTTTACTAAAATACTATCTAAATACAAATTTAAGTTTTAACTCACTCAAACACAAACTCAAAAAGATTATTATCTCAAACCATAACTCAAATGTACACAATCAAACACAAACTCAAGTTACAAGTTCAACTCAAATTATAACTCAAATTCAACTCAAGAATTATATTCAAGTTAAACTCCAAAAGAACGGGACCTTATGAGGTTTTATAAGAAATGATTAATTATAGTCGTCAAATTTTGTTTTGGTCCATAATTTTTAAAAGTTCGATAACGACACCTCATGTTCAAATAAGTAAACTTTGCAACAAAACTCAGAAAAAGTTTAAACTCAAGTTATAACTTTATTCAAGTTCATGTTCTTTTAAGTTCCCACTTTATTCAACTTTACTCAACTTTATTCAAGTTATAACTTCAACTCAAGTTACTGTTGGGAATGGTGTCCTAGACGCATGAGATGTAATAGGATATTTATTATTTATTTAATAAAAGAGTTTATTCATTATTTTATGTGCATATATTTATGAATATTTT